TGATCATTGCAACTGAATGGGCGTGTTCTTCAAACAGTGGCATCAAAGAAGTTACATTTACTTGAACAGAAGGGCCTCGATTTTTAGAGGAATGACGTCCAAGATATGTTTTCGAAATCCAAATTCTCGTCTGTTAGATGAACTAGGTTTAGCCATTCATATTCACACTTGGGGCTTTCTTCAAGATAATCATGATATGGTAGTTTGAGTATAGTATTAGGGTTATTTGGAGGTGTAGGTTTAATCTTTAAGTCTTTTAGTTGATTTTAGTCTCTGATGCATGATTTTTATTATTAATTGTTTTTGGCTTAAAACTAGCTTTCTGTAACTGCGAGTACTCTCAAATCGTACTTTCATGTTAATTTGACCTATTGGTACAATTTGTAATGTATTTTTGTCATTTGATCATTACTTATTCAGTGTTATATCTAGTCTCGCTATTTTTAATATATACCACCAAGTGTTTAGTATGACGATAAATTTTCACTTTTGTTCTCGTACTAGGAACAACAAAATTATTTATTTTGTACAAATTATTTCCGTACTCCATGTACACCTTACGACAAAATTATTTTTATTTACCTGTGTACGTTATTTTGTGTAGCGGCATTTTGTCCAAGGTTATGGTTGTCTTTTTGATATTGTTTTACATCTAACCCCCTTGTTTTATAAATTTTGTATTTACATTGTGTCATAGATCAAATTTATTCGTTCAGTGTATGTTCACTTATTTTTGGTTAATATGTCTTTTGATTGAGTTAAGCCATTTCAATTGATATTTTATAGTGTGTCTTTCTATGTTGTGATGTTACACTATTGTTTCAGGTAGGGTGAAGGTTGGCGCCTTTTAAAACGTTTAAACCCGCTGCATTTGTTTGCACCTGTCCTAAGTCAGGACCTGATGTTCAGTGGTTGTCGTTTGTTGATGTGGTTCATAAGTGTTTCTCGTTTCTCGTTTTTTATATTGATTAGACCGTTGGTTTTCCTGTTTGAATTGTTTTACACTAGTCATTTTGGGGGCCCTTTATAGCCTGCTGTTCGTTGTGAGCCAAGGCTCCGTGTTGAAGGCCGCACTTTGACCTATAATGGTTTACTTTTATAAATTGTGACTTGGATGGAGAGTTGTCTCATTTGCACTCATACCACATCTTCTTATATCTATTTTAGTAGGCAGTTCTTATATTGGCGTATGTATCTACTTGCCTTGAACTTGGTCTATTTCCCAGTATTAAGACTCCAGGTACAATCTCACTATTGTCATCCGATGGGTGCTGAAAAAATAGAAATTCTCGTCCCATGAAATGATGCTTTTGCAGTTGTTGAACTAGGGTTGTGAGCAATATTATCAACAGCAACTGTAGTGAAAAGCCCTTTTTTTTAAACAGGTGGACATATTAAACCTTCGGACAAAAAGCGTTCAACCACAGCCTCTCCTTGTTTAGTTGATATTTCTAATACCCGGTGATATGAAATACATAAACCATATTGAAATAAGGTATCGATCAATTGACGCTTCCTGGTCCTTGCAAAAATTAAAAAGCCGATATAGATACAAAAATTCACGATCTACAACATGCCGCTGTTGTTCTGATACTTTCGGAGTTTTTGCATGATTTGTTGTACATTAGCAGCTGAGCAATTGCTAGATCAGACTTGCATACACTGTTCTCTTATTGAGATTGAATATCTGGGCCATGGTCAATCATGCACATAAGTTCAAGCAGTAATGGGGGGACGCATGATTGGATATCTTCGGCCGAAAATGAACCAGAAAATTTTGCCTTATGTTCCTTAATTTGTGCCCGAATAATTTCTGCAGTTTTTCCGATATGTATGGTGTCGTCGTAATTACATGTCAATGCTATTGCTGGACCAACATCTTTTTCAAAAACCAACAACACCTCCCGACCTTAAGTATATGCTCTTGAGGATCTGGTATCTTTGCAAGTAGCATTTTTTTTGAGTCGTGTCCGGTGTTAATTACTATTAACACAAACAAATGTAACGAAGAAGCACAAAAAGGCATACATCAAATTTAAAATCCTCATTTTGCTTATATTATACGATTTTATTTATCTATGTAAAATACACCCATAAAGGATGGAAGGTTTTCAGTACTGGCGTAAAATTGCGCGTTTGAAATTCGCACAGGTAGACATAAAAAAATTTCGTCGTTCAAAGTATGAGGGGATACATAAATACAGAGTCACGTAAAATGGATATAACTAAAAACAGACTTAACAGTAAATATAATATTAATAAATAACTGTTTGTCCTGGAGAGTTTCAGCACAACTTCTCAATCTATCATTCAGCTTTATTGTCATTGCTTCCCTGAGTGACGAAAGCGGAGCCTCTTTGTCACACAAAAACACTTGACAATATCTTGTTTTAATTTTGTTTTTGAATGATCAACTGAACGGCGAAAGAACTTAGGTGAACAAACAGGTTCACTTTTTGTTGATTTCGTTGACTTGTATCGATGTTAGGCACGTTTCAATTTGGTGTTGTTAAATTTAATTCGGCAACTTGGATGGTAATTTGCCTCATTTATTGTAAATGTGCTTTTAATTCCGGAACCGTTGTTTTACCTTCTAACGTCCAGTGGTATAGTTAAGCTATTCATTTCGTGAAACTTAGAAATGGTTGTAGCCAACATTATATACCCATCGCAGTTGAGTTTAACGTTTCAACTGTGTCTTCCTGACACAAATAACACTTTGACCAGTAAGTTTCCCAATTATCTGTTGAGACTGATGACAGACGAATTCTTTTCGCCATTATGAAAAATTAAACCAAATCAAATATAAACTCTAACAATAACAATAATAATTGCAAAACAGAAAACAAAATTAAACCTTTTCTAAAAAAACACTATAATAATGTTTGGAAAATGGAAAAATACTGTTAACAGGCCGAGGCATTATCCTTTTACCATCTGAAACTGCACTTTATTGCATGGGATTTGACTGGGTTCGTTGATGTTGTACCTACACCAAGCCCAATCGTTCATCCACTGATATTTAACTCCCGTGCGATCTGTACACCATCCATAGGATTAATGCCCATTCCTCCATGGCTCGGCTATCCCGCGTTGGCACATCCTGTCGATTCAGGTATGACTTTATGGCTTTTACAAAGGGGCAAACCATAAAGTATTTGGGAGACTTTAAAATGAAAGCTAACAATGGACCCTATGCCGTGTTTATAAACGGCAGCAATTTTCACCAGTATGCCCTGGTACTGCGTGCAAATCGTTCTTTATATCTATAAATAGTTTGCGCATGCGCGAAATTGTTAAACGCATGTGTATCATAACCTTGAAAAATGTTATAAAACCAATTCATAATATCATTTAAAATCCAAAAGCACAAAGTACATAGTGAATACTTTAAAGGTTTTTGTGTGAATTTTGTAACATTTTCGCGCATGCGCAAACCCTAAACATGTCAAATATTCATTTCTAGTATATACGTCACACCTAAGGAATGTAGCCACCAAACCTGATAATTTTTTACTAAAAAAAGGTCAGAGAAAAACATTTTTCCATAAAAATTAGTATTTTCGAACTGGAAAACAGCCATTTTAAAAAAGGCCCGTGGCTATCTTGAACAAATTATTTCTTTTAATGGCCAGCAGTTGTTTCTTTAAAAGTATATAATAATGATGCTTCGTGCTAATTTTCATGCTTGTATCATGATTTGCACAATTCTCTCGATTTTGCTTGCTAATATCTTCCACTAAACCTTATAAATTTTAAAGGCTAATATTCTTAGCTTAGGTGTGATACCATATTTATATATCTAGCGCTTCGTCCGTGTGACAACACACTTAAACAAAAACATATTTTGATTAAATCCAAAATTATTCAATATGTACAAAAATACGAAGATGTAGCACGATTGCCAAAGAGACAACTCTCCACCAGAGACCATATAACGTAGAAGTTAACAACTAAAAATGACTCAATGAGGACTTCATCAATGAGCAAAGCCCATATCGAAATGACAAATGTAAGACATTTCAAACGAGCTAACTGCTTTAGTTAGGTAAAGAAAAACAAATATGATTTACAGCAACAAACAACAACCACTGTATTACAGGCTCCTGACTAGAGATAGGCACGTAAAGAAAGAGGTGGGGTAAAACATGTTCACAATATGTGTGTATGTGGAGGGGGTGGGGGGGATAAACAGCCCTAAATGTGTTTATTTGAAGGTGCAAATGAGCATAATTATTGATTTTTTTTTCAGCCGACGTACTAATACCTTTTTGAAGCTTATTCTGACCATTGTATTTTTTGCAATGCTGTTAGTAACTTCCTTAATATTTTGCATATGAGAGGTAAAAAATGTTAACTTCAGACAAATCGAAGCAGCCAAATATTATACGTTTCAGATAATTTGGATGATGTTCATTAAGGATGTTTAAGATGACATAAACATTATAACAAATAAGGGAGAAGTTCTGAAAAGTTCTAAGTATTAAGATAAAGTGATATTGTAAATTATTTTCTCTAGTTAAATTGTGCAAATCGGTTGCCTTCTTACTAATGTTTAACAACGTAGCAAATACTGTTATATATTTCTTATCCAATATATGAATCGCCATGATGACAATGTTTGAAAATTGGAAATAATTCAATATGTTCATTTTAAAGGATTCTCAGCGGCAGACTGATTTTTTTAAAGTGTCACCTTCAATGTTGGGGTTATTATTTTGCAATTTTATTTGTTTTCACATTATTAGAAATTAAAATAACATTTCATATATTATATGCGTCCAAAGTTGTCATGGCGATGAAAATTCCGAAAGCAGGATAAGACCACAGAAACCTGCCAATCTTTATATTAGAAGCCCAGCAGTTAATATCAAAAAATTTTTTTTTAATTACATGAAGACACAGTCAAGAGTTATAAATCTAAATACAATGAATACAAAATGATACGCAGAATACGGCAATTAAAAGTATACAAAAACTAAATTCTATAACGCTTTATGTTTTATGTTTTATATTTTATGTTTAAGTTATGTATAATAATAACAGTAGTAGAGCCTGTTGTTTTTGCCTCCATCATTCAGAGGATGACTTCCGCTAACCTTGTTTTCGTTATTTTTGTCCTCGTCATCTGTCTCCACTGACTCCTCTCTAACAAACATACCCTGTACCTGTTGACATTGTGATGTGAAGCGTAATAGATAAAACGATTGACTTGTTGGAAGAATAATCCCGATTTTGTCTGATCCGTCAGATCTGTAAATAATGAAACAATGCATGATGACTATATACCATTTTTGAGATTTGAACATTTCTAAATGGAAAAAGTTCAACATTTAAATAATTCTCTTCCTCTCTCGTAAGTATTCTTGGTTTGTGTTTTATCAATTTTTGTATAGATGCTAATATAATGTGTTGATGATATCAATCTTAAGTCATCTCTGTTGGATTTATTTACGAAATGGATAGACTCTGTCGATATGAAAACACGGCTTGAATGCTAAGCGCTTTTCGTCTATTGAGTGTCCTATGCTGGTGTGCAGATAAATTGTCCGTCCTTGCTATATCGTTTTATCGCTTTCATGTAAAGTTAAACTTAAGCCCCAATTAGTGATACCTTTTTTTAATTTTCAAAGTTTATACCTGCAACAATAGTCTATAAACGTGTTTCTATCATAGGATCCACTTGGAAGTACTCCGTCTAGTGTGTTTCCGTTGTCATCATCTTCATCATCCCAGTAAATACTTCCGGTCTCGAAACCTACTAAAAGTAATACCATCAACTGCAATGGTCATTATTATCTTAGATAACCTCGACAATATTATCATATTGATACTATGTCCTGAATAGGCATGTCGTTTAATGATCTTCACTTTTATGTCTTGGCCAATCCATTGATTGCATGTCGTATTTTACATGACAGGGTAAAAGGGGAACATGTGTGACAAAATATACTTTTCACAATATTGAAATTCAAATCCAAAGAACGTTTCGGAGATTCAAATATAAACGACATAGATATAAGTAGTGAAAACATATATGGGTTATTTTTCCTTCAAGAAGCTGTTATTGTTGATTTAGAACAATTATAATTTTTAAACTGATAATTCGAAATTAAAAAGTGCCATTATCACATTGCCAATACAGAACATGTTCATTTGTACCTATTTTACTGAGTATTTTTATGGTAAATATATAAATACCTGATGGACAGGATAGTCCTTGTCTTAGAATACAGTAATTTCCCTTTGGCCAAGTTTCATTTCCTAGTATGGTATTTTCGTCTTTGGTACAATAATGAAATTCCATATTTACCCCAAAGGAACCTGTCAGTCATAACAATTTTTTTTTTATTAGATATAAATCAAACATGCAGACATCTTTCGGTGATCGAGTAATTCTCAAGTTATATTTAACGTACTACTTATTGCGTGATTTGTAATCATAATATTAAGTATCATGCTTTTAAACTGGAACAATAAACTTAAATTAAGTTGAAAATATTCTGCATACTAGCTTCTTATGAAGAAATAAAAGAAGTAAGCATTATCCTTTAACTTCACTTTCCGTTTGTTGACTATGGTGAACGCATCTATCACGTCCAACTTGGGTTAAAATACACCTGTGACGTAAATCTTTTATTCAAATTCTCCATTATTTTTCAGGAATGGAGAGTTATTTTCTATTGTCCATCTTCATTCATCCGGACGTTTTGCCCTTTGGGTATTTCCATGGGCATTTTCTTAAAAAGTGTTCACCCATGGAAATAATTCTAAAGGACGTAACGCGATATTGAATGAAGATGAAAACTTACTAAAACGGCTGATATTAAATGGATTTGCTTTTTTAATTGGGATGACCTCGTAGTAATACAATGAACAGCAAATATCTCATTATTAATAAACAGCTTTTATTTGCGAGTCGTAATTCCATTATATAATTTATAGTTTCGTTTTCACTAAACTTCCACAACATTATCCACAATTTGTTTTCCGATGCAGGCAAATCTTTGCTTAATTTCTGTCACGGATAGTATCCAACTGAAGCGGATAAAAACGCATATTTTCCATTGAGTGCCATTCCTCTTCTGTGCATCTACAAAATATCAAATGTGTTAACTCAGTTAGATTCTTTTGTAATATTGAACACAATAACATTATACAAAAGGGAAAATTAGAGAAACATATATTTCACTTACAGATTTGCTTTTAATGTTTAAGATATCATTTGCTTGAAATTTTAAGTGTTGTATTTTGAATTTGTACAGCAAAAATCGTTTGTTCCATTTTAATATGTACATTAAAAAAAGAAATATTACTCAGTTTCTACAATAATATTGTGGTTAAATAGGATTAATGGTTCAAGAAACTGAAATGGTCAAAATGCCGTATTCGGGATATTATTTGATTTTTCGTTGTTATAATTTGAATATTGTACTAATGAATAGAATTTGAGGGGTATGGATAACATTTGAATAAGGATTGTGTTAAATATTGGGCGGGATGTTTATTCAATTTTCAACAGAAACGCGTAACACAATCGAATTCCTTCACTGTTATTATATGTCCAGTGGCAAATATAACAGTTATATCGACAGTGCAAATGACGGCGTTAATCTTGAAATGTTTAAATGAAATCAAAAAGTAGTTCTCCACTCAATAAAGTTAAAGACATACAAAACGCAATCTAGAAATGTTTTTAATCACGCGGGTTTTTTTTCTAAAATTGTTTTCTTCTTTTCTGATAATAGGGAAGAATGAAAAAATATTTTCAGTTTGCTTGTATTGCTATTTAAGACTCTAAAACATGCATAACATTTTTTTTTTTCGTTTTTATGAGCAAAGGGAGCGAAAAAACAAATGTTGGATAATGCATGAAACATGAAACAGTGTTTTCTTGTTTAATTTTATTTGATCTAATAGAATGGTTTGAAATATAGAATCATATTTTGTTTCGGATATGACTCCAAATCGACCACACCCTTATTAGTTAAATAACCTATACTAGAGTGTTACATACCTGGAAATTTATTCTATTTGTACCATGTCATTTTTCTCGGACGATTCTACATCCAAGATTTATCAAACGAAAAATACACATAATCCATTAACATATATGAATAAATATTAGTTTTCTCTCTCTCCCGAAATACCACTTAAAGACACACGTAAATATCCTTTCAATCCCACCACAAGAAAGACGTGCGTATCCAATGACTTAAAACATGAATCTGGATGAACTTATTCAAGATCTTTTTATAGTAATTATTCAACTGTTCATAAATACTTCGTTAAGTGAGTATATGGTCAGCTTGATCTTAAATTTTGCCTGTGGATTATTGGTTACACCACGGGGATAATGAAAAGAAAACCATTACAATATGAAATAAAATTCTTTAAAATGTTATAATCTAAAGATTCGTTCTAATATTTAAGGTGTATTTTAAGTTAGCGAAAGTCCAAATAACTGTCCATTCCTTGAAAATAATGGGCGATATTCCAGGGCTTTTATTTCCTATCATGATTTCCTTGATAGAGGGCTGCTGATCACAAGGAAGTTATAAAAACAGGAGTTCCAAGTGATGAAGGTCCCTTTGTAAATAGGACGGACTCAATCACGAGTTTTTGGCCGTTATGGAATATCTGTGTCACAGATGACGAAGAATCGCGTTCTATTGTCTTAACCACACTCCTGTTCTCTTTTCCCCGATTGTGACCTACCGAATTAGACTTATCAACATGAATATACTTACACGAGCAATTCTACGGATGCCACATGTGGAGTAAGATCTGTTTACCCTTCCGGAGCACCTGAAATTACCTGGTTTCGGCTTAGGAGTTTGAATGTCCGTTTTGTATCTTTCCCCTCTCTAGCTTATAAGACGTCAATTTTTTACGCCTGTCCAAAGTCTAGGAGCCTTTGGCCTTTGTTCGCCTTGTATGTTTTTTAATTCTAGTTCATTAATATGTTTCGGAGTTCGGTATGACGTCCATTTTCACTGAACTAGTACACATTGTTGCTTAGGGACCAGCTGATGCCCGCCTCCGGGTTCATATTTACTCGCTGTGTTGAAGACCCATTGGTGGCTTTTGGTTGTTTTCTGGTCTTTGGTCTGTTTGTTGTCTCTTTGACACATTCCCCATTTCCATTCTCAATTTTAAATATAATACCGTAAAAATGATGATCATATGTAATGAAGTTATCATTTTTTTTGTCTTCATTATCCTGGTATCGCCATCCTTCCGCCCACCCAGACGGGCATCCTGCATTCGATTTGACTAGTGTAAAGGTCCCTTTTGGCCATTGTTCTGAAAAATTAAGAAAACTGAGTATGTGTACATAACTTTTGAGGTCCTCTTTTATTGATTAATGAAAATGAAAGAAACATGTTTGAGATAGTTTTGCAAAAAAAAAACTTTTATTTTTGAATTCATAGTTAAAACCTTTTATTTTATTTTAATTATGCACAAGTATTTTACTAAATTCAAATACAAACGGTATTGTTTACAATAACAGAAATGGCGAATAATAATTTGCAAACAAGAGGTTTTGTCTGTTTAATTATAGTTACCAGCGTATGTAGATGGAACGATGAGGATCAATGTCAATATGGACAGCATCTTTAAGCAATGGATACTAGTATCTAGGAGCTGTAATGATAAAAATCACACTAAACATTTATTATATTGCAAAATATCTACAGCTTAAGCAATAAAACTAACGTAAATACGCCATATAAACTTGCAAAAATGGCATTCGTTATATATCTGCTCGATAATATCCTTCTTGTTGTATTAAAAACAAAGTCAAAATTAGGCCACTCATCAAGAAATCTCGTATTGAATAAACTGTAACCATCTTATTTGTGCGTTGCCATCTGTCTGATGAACAAATATGTAGTAAAGAACACTTTCATTTTGAAAATTACTTTAGATTTTATATACTTTGAAATAACGATCCAATATATGATCCTATGAATATCAAACTAACTGTTTCGATACACTTCTGAAAAAAACAAGTATGACCAAAAATTAATTCAACATTTAAGAAGATTGAAATTAAAAAGAAACGTAAGTCTTACTTGCTCACGAATATCAATATGTCGACTGTGATGTAATTATCATAGTTATATTAGAGAATTTATCCAATATAATTTAAGTATCTTAAGGCCTTAGACTTCCTTTTTTTAATTTCATTTAGTAATTTGATTTCCAAATGCATATTATTATTTTGATCATTATGTAACCACCGTAACAAAACTTAAAAAGAAGAAAGTTTATCAATGTATTATAAATACATAAATTCGCATATCTGTATAGTGTTTCTGCATTAAAATTTCAATTTTGTACTGGGCATAGCACATCACCGAGTCTTCCTATAGTCTTGCTTTCAGATAAAATTTCATATGACTTAAAGCTAACGATAACAAAGTGACTGATATCATAGTTTCCTATCAATAGGTTATTATTCATAGGCCTTACCTTGCCTTCTGTACATATGTCACCCGTCTATTTGTTCACTGTTTTACCGTAAATTCAAGGTAAAGTGTCTCATGTTCTGATTTTATTATGTATTCCTTTATGAAACATTTACTGGTCTAATAATCGCGATTAATAGTTAAATGTTGTAATCCTCATAACCTAGTTTAGCTCTTGACCTTCATCCACGTACATTTATACGAAACTTTCAAAATTGTTGCCATGTTTTTATTATTGCGAAAATTGCGACGAAATAGGTTTCACATTAAAAAAAAAACGCATTAAAATTTTTTTGAATGTTTTTCTATAAACGTGATGCTTAATATTGTATTTGTGTCCATTGTTTAACAATCACAGAAATAAATGCATGCAAAAATTAAGACTAGTCCCGCTGGTCATGTTATAACCGCCGAGGAACCTGACGTCGTAATCATTTTTGGTATCTTAATACAAAAAAAAATATAATAAAACAAAAGAGAATTACAAAAGTTGAATTCAAACTTTCTTTTCATCTCTGAGATTTTGTGATTTATAAGGGACCTTTTTTGCCTAATTTCCTATTTTTTTGTGTGGATCATGTAATTTATCCAATTTTTAAGATCCAGTTTCAATACAATATTCATAAATGCAGAATTTGTAAACATATAGGAAAATTTATACTACAGCCCATACTGCGGCCAATGTATATTTTGTATATAAAGTTGCACATTGACTGCTTTCAAAAGAATGATGTAAAATGATATGCTCATTAAATATGAATTGTTTTATGTGTTTTATTTGACCAGTATTACATCAAAGAACTTAAGTTTTGATGTACTTTTAGTTAAATTTTGCCTTATATGGAAGTTTTTGAACATATACCCTGAAAATACCCCCAAAAGGCTTTTCAAAGGCTTTTTAAGCAGTTTCATACCTCAAAAAACAACAATAAAGTTTCATTTTACTAAATCTGTGTTTTAATTACATGTAAAGTTCAAAATCTGTCAATGACAAACATTTGGCAGAAATTCCTGTTAACCCAACATCAGGATTGTTTCTTTGCCAAAACTGTACAGGCAAAACAGAAACAGTGACAAATATGAAAAATAAGACAGGGTATGACCAAATTTTGCATTTGAAAGATTAAAGTAACATTTCAGAATATTAAAAAGCAATCATTTAACATAGAAATCCAAAAACAAACATTTCAACATAAGTTTCATAGATGAAGGGTATCTAATTCTGCAAAGCTGTCCAGAATTTTTTTTAATTTAAGAAACGCAATGAATTATTTAAAAAAAAATTAATATCTTCAATCGGTCAGATTATTCGAGTGTTAAAATACTTGAAAAAGTGCTTAGCAACAACTTAATCTGCAACTTTACATGGGGAACACTGCTAAAAAATACACTTTGTCAAAGGGAGGTAATTCTGATTTTGCATATGATTTTACACATAATTAGAAGAAATATGTGCAAAATTTGATGTAAATGGAGAGAATATTTATGTCTTTCATAAATTTTATAACTCTGAAGTGTTATTTCTATTGTTCCTTTCAATTTGGACACAAAACTGATTTTTCCAATTAAACCCATGCTTCCTCCCACAGTATACTCAGTGCATCCTTGCCAGCCGCAGTTAAACATAGAATTTTGTATGAAAAACAACTTTAACTGGTTCCTAAAAGCTTCCATTGCATTAACATTTACAGGAAATGAGCTTTGTTATTATTGTGAGGCCTTGAAAAAGTACAGTGACAAAGTGCATATTTTCCTATATATAGGGGTAAATTCAGTAAAAAAATATCCCATTGACTTTAATGCAAATTTATGTCTTGAATTAAATTTATACCAGATTTACCTTTAGAAATCAGAAGCTTTCATATATCATTCATTAAAGTACAAATGTAGCCCCATCTTTTGCAACAATAAAAACATAGGGTCATGCGGCATTTTTGGGCATTCACATGGCCTTATTTACAAACAATGTAGATTCGCACTTAAATCCTAAACTGACCCCATGACTTTTCAACCCTGTAGTAAAACATTTTAATTTTGATTCATCTATCAAAAAATATTTATTACAAACATTATCTACCAATCAGAAGAGTCCAGGACAGAAAGCGATATCGTATACACTTTAATACATTCTTGTATTAGACACACCCAATAGGGCGTTAACCCGATTGGTGTATATAATGTACTCCACGATATTATGGAGAATGCAAAAGGATATACTTTAATAATTTATGAAGGTGTCCCTCAGAAATGTGATTTTTTTAATAGTGAAGCATGATACATCCAGAATTTACAATTACATTTAATGACACCATAGTGTAAGTACTCAAAACAGAAGATTATCTGATAGGGTTTATTCAGCCTGTGGAGCATCGATATCATCACTGATGTCTGATACACAACGGTTATAATTTATTGTTAATAATCATAGAAATTACTTTGATTTACGTAGATGGGATGTCTTTATCAGCAAGAGTTCAGGTTTTTGTGATTAAATCAGAAAAGAAAGGTATTTCAGCGATTCATATTGTCATACAAAAGCAAAAATAAGGTATCAATTTGATAACAGAACAAAGGACGTCAAAATACAATTCTAGACCAGGTGGTCATGTTATTACTGGCGACCTTGGCATCGTTACCAATGAACAACTAAGAGAGGAATCAAAATATAGAATTTCTCAGCCCATCAACTGGAAAAAGAACTTAAGGTAACTGATGGATGCAGTTGATGACTAAGCTAGAAAATGGGTAAAGCGCGAACCAGACGAACCAGAACTGGACACTTTGTCTGAATGGATCAAAGCTATTCGATCATGCATTCAGAAACTACGATGTACTATGAACACAGGGGTTTCTAACCCATTCAAGAAGCCGGAGGTTGTTGATGCTTTATTCTCATTACATGACAAATATGTCGTTGATAAGGCCTTCAATAAAATTGTCTTCGTATGTAAAAACCATTATTTGCAATGTCTCACAAAAAGAGCTTGAAATAAACAGCACAAATGGTAATCCTACATATTCTTTAACATCATTTACAAAGGATGAAATTATACAAAATCACAAATTTGCCAATCTTTCTTTTAGTATTAACATCAAAGAAAACGAAGAAAATCTACCGACATTTTACTGCATACCAAAACTTCACAAAACTCCGTATAAAGAACGATACATAGCTGGATCATCAAGATGTTCGACTAAACATCTTTCTAAAGTGCTGACTACTATTCTTTCTACAGTAAAAGATGGCATTCAAAAATGTTGTGATGAGATATATTCAACCAGTGGTGTCAATCAAATGAGGATTCTCAAAAATTCTAAAGATCTACTTCTAAATCTTAGATCACCATCTCTGCAATTTTGCAGCAACAATATAATGAATCTGATGACAATGATGATGATGATATTGGTGAAAATGAATCAGATGAGGGTGTTGTTCATTTTTCTACGCTTTATTCCCCCTGCTTAGGGACAGGTCATTATTTATCTCCAGGGAGGCCGGCAAAATGTAAATTTGAAATGATAAAAAATAATTGACCCCTTTTCAAAATGTGTTAAAAAATTTAACCCCCCCCCCCCCCTTCTTTCAACTACATAAAAACTTTTGACCCCCCTCTTTTTTTATTATAATTGAAAAATTTTAAATGATTTAATCTTCATTTTTTATTGTTTATATTCCTATTAACAGGTAAAATAGCTCAAAGGGAATGGAATTAAGGTATTTTGATAAACATACACAGAGAAATACATTGAGGACAATAACAACCGATACAAGGAGACCCTGATGTAACTTCACAGTCTTTAACAAGACAAATACCCATTGTTTGAATAAACAGTGTCAAGAATTTTTGCCATAAATACAATGTACTATAATATCAACAATAAGTTTATATTGAAATATTATTCTAAAACAATAGTTCCATAATAATCTCAAGTCAGCATTATGATTGCTATTTTAAATCACAAATTTTGTATATTAAAAATACCCTTTAATATAATAAAATTGCTCTATAATAAAACAAAACCATGAGACAGTATATCATATAGTGCAAATTAAGTTAAACAAAATATTCATTTATAGTGAAGATTCCAACACCAAAGTTTTTTTTTCAAAAACAATTAAATGAATACAGACTTGGACCAAAAGTATTTCAAAAATGTCAAAACTTCCTTTATATTTTATATAAAACCAAATTTCAAAATGTGGCATAATTAGCTCATTCTTCATCCAATGATATGCACCATCTAGTCAAACTCAAAACTATTTGGAGTTTCAGTTGGTTATTTAATTATAATTTTGTCATTTACAGTTTTTAAGAGTAAATACTTTGAACTTTGTTTTGATATCTGAGCATTACTTTTTATTGTATACATACAGAATGTCAGGATGTTAAAAAATGATTTTTTTGTTCTTGAATATAATTTTGAATGTGAAGAAAATATTCTGCGGTC